TAACTCTGTAAATCATGAAATACTTATAGTGTCATGCATATGCGTATGAATGTCATGTCGTGCATAGGTACATGTGTTCATAACATCATCAAGCCTCTGAGGGCATCCCATCATATCATCTCGGCCACTGTGGGCAAAATCATTAACGTATACCAGCTGATCAGGTGGTGGTACGTATATAACGCCGTAACCTTTTCCCATATCCCATATACATATATATACATATATACGCGTATATCACGCCATCTGGTCATGGGTCAATGTACATGTATAAGTGACTGCAATGCATGAGAAGTAAATCAATAAAATCCCTCGGAATATCATAAGACCATTATATTTCTGATTAATATCATGAAATAAACCTTATCAACTTACGTATTTTTTGAGACCTATGAATAGACGATAGAATAATAAGACATATGGGAATTTCAAGAACATAGGCATCTCTAATACTTCTATGAATAGAGTCATTTATGGAAGTTGTGCATTTGCTCGTTTCTTTCGTGTCGTATAGATCATGACAAAAAGAAACAAGGGATAGCCTTAACATACCTGAACCGATTTTCTTGAGAAAGATTGCACCGTATTCTCTTATAATTGCAAAATCTCACAATAGTAACATAAATCCAATGCCTACCGAGTGATCCATCATGTGTTATTTGGTATTGGGGTAGGAAAATATTATGATTTCCATTTAATATGTTCTAATGTGAATTTCTAATGGAAAGAACAGTATGTTTGAATCTCTTGAAAGTCTAAGAGAACAGATGAATCAAAATGGTCACAAACCTTTAAATGTGTTTGAATGGGTGTGGGCCCACTTCAAGTGGTGACTAAGCCACTTTAATCCTCCACAATATGACATCTATGCAAGACTTTCAAGAGCCATTTTAATTATAGGAATTTTTACCTCCTATAGCAAAGGTCGATACCTTATTTATTTTAAATAAATACCCTTTTAAAAAATTATATTCCATAGATACCTTTTAATTTTTATAGCCAAATATCTATTTATGGTCACCTCCTACCCTTAAGCCATAAAATACGATTTGTATTATTTCTCTCTCATTCTTTCAGATTTTTCTCCACCCTCTCTCTCTCAACGCCATTCTTTCTCCATGAATACAACCACAATTCTCCACTGATTCATCTCCATTGTCTCTGAAAATTTTCATTTGAGTGATCATCGACGGCGGAGAATGACAGAGAGGGGCAAAACCAACCATTGAATTCACTGTTCCTCTTCCTTCCTCAATTCGTCATTGAAGGATTGAAGGCTTTGAAGGATATAAGTTTATGTGATATCCTTAATTCGTCTTTATCAATCAATTAGAATGACAGAGAGGGGCAAAACCACCGTCATTGAAGGATATAAGTTTCTGTGATTTCTACATCTTCTAAGATATGGCATTGAAGGCTTTGACGTTGTCTTTTGCCATTGAAGGCACCATCGCCGGACCAAGGCGGCGCGTTTTCATTACCGGTTTCTGGTGAACGGCGGATTCGCCAGAAATTAGGGTTTGTTCTTGAACAAAGACGATGGAGTATGGGGCTGAGCAGCTTGATTTTCTGTTAATATATTTCAATGTATTTTCATGTATTTCATTGTATTCATTATCTTTTTTTTTTTTCAATTGTAATTCAAATGTATTTCATTGTATTCCATGTATTTCATTGTATTCACTGTCTTTTTTTCATTGTATTTTCAATGTATCCCGTTGTACTCTATGTATTTCATTGTATTCACTGTCTTGCTATATGCCATGAATGTATTCATATATTTTTTTAATTAATATTATTTATGTATTCAGATGTATTATATAATTTCTCTGAAGATTGCTATGTTTTTGGTGTATTTTTCGGTTGAGAATCTTTTTTATATCTGAAAATATAAAATTTGTGTTATAATTGAGTTTGTTGAGTTATATTAGGAGTCTATTATATTAATTGATTCACTTTCCGTTTTAAAAACAGTGTAATCCCCTATTTCATGCAGTAAATACAGTCGAATACAATAATAAGTCCAGCTGTAATCCCATGTTTCACTCCATGAATACAGTCGAATACACTCGAATACAACAACTGATTAGCTGGACTTCCCTGATTCATGCCTATTTTTGCTACTGTATTCATGAATACAATAGCTTAAATACATCAAATGCATCTTATAACGACAGAAAAGGTATCTATAATCCGTAATATAGCAAATGGTATCTATAGATGACTAATTACTACTAAAAGATAGTGCTTTATGAAAATTTCTTTTAATTATAAGGGTGGGGCTGCCACGTTTTTGGGCCTATTAGGCCTTATCCCAATGTCTTAATTACCCAAGTAATGTCTTATTTAACTAATTACTCCCCCATTAACCAATAATCAACCACTTAACCATATAATTAAGAATTATCTCAACTTACGTAAAATATTACTCACTTTTAATACACTTTACGTATCCTACTATCGTGGTCGTGGGGTACCTTGTAAGGAATTAGTCCATAAATGTCGGGTATTGTAGGTCGGGCCGTATTTTAACCCAAATCGACAACCTTCAACGAAACTCATTTTCTTTGATTCGTTTACCCTTTATCCTTCACGACACTTACTTATCGCTCGCTATAAATAGCATAGATGCGTATAACCTCGAGATAATCTCATGCCCGAGTCTACGTCGATTATCTAAAGACAAAACTTTAATGTACGAAAACGCGAGATGTAACATCTCATTTCCGAGCTTATACCAATTTACTTATGGCGTACTTCCATGAACGAAAACATGGGGTGTAACATCATTCCCCTCTTTGGATTATTCGTCCTCGAATATTGATTGATGCACTTATCATTCTCATAACCCATAGCTCTTGAGAATACTTTAATACTCTTCTTGCCATTTAGGCAACTGTTCTTTGAATAAATCCAAATGCCAGGGCATTCCCCCCTTTAGGCCTCTTTCTCGCACCACGGTCTGTGGTCGGAATTCTTCCAATCTCGTAACTCTTGCTATCTTTTGTCATGCAGCTTGTACAACTTTTTCCTTGTATGTGCGCCTATGCGACTCTTCTCTCCTCTTTCCTCCGGCTTTTAGCCAATCTCTAGGCCTCACTTTGCAAACATATATAGAGCTTGATAAAATGTCCCTCTGGGCATCTATAGGTATACTGAAGTTCTTTTCTCGGTACTTTGTCGAACTTACAAATATTATTATACCTTATTTCATAGATCTGTTTATCCATTCGTATGACTTTACTGCATCTAGGTAGGTCATACTATACCATAACTCTTACTTCGATTTATCGTTACTGAGGTCTGCTACAGAACTCCAGGTTACTTTCGTTATTTATCCCATATGTATAAATCTAAGTCCTTTAATGCTTCCTCATTACTTGTTCATCTTAAGAATGACGGCCTAATCTCACCTCATACTTTGTGACTATTGTCCATCCACTATTGATTCACCTTAATGTTGATCTGTAATCTACCACTGATGACTTGACCTCTTATGTAACACTGCCACTAGGTTTCACGTCTCATTATAGAAACATCTGAAATGAATAGACTGATCCACCTGGAGCGATACCATGATTCAATAATCGTATTTCGTAGCATCCCAATGCGATTCACCTTACGTGGGTATTTTAATCCCGTACATTTTATGAATCCCTTTTTTTTCAAATCATTACTCAATCGAAGGCCCAAACGTCATCCTTTATCTATCACAATTACACCATCATTATACTACCAAGGCAGCATTCCATCTCTTCTAAATGCTACTAGTCTTAGACTCTTGAGGACTTATCCATTCTCGTCACCTTCTCACTTGCCCTTTCTTATCCTTACTCCTGTCTTCCTAAAATCTTGTCGCTTTACTATACTTTAGCTTGCGACCTATAAGTATCTATTTATACTACTCACAACCTTCCTTCAACTTGCTTGCACCATAGATTTTCTTATGTTATTCTGGAAAATCAAGCGAGACATCACATCGTCTCAAACTCTTCTTTACTCTTTTATCTAGACCTCTCGATATTTTAAAAGAAAATAAGTTGGAAGATATGCCACTGACGACGCTGCTATCATTCCTGGATACTGAATCCCCGCGCTATCCGAAGTATGGACTATTCTTAACCTTCTGCTTTTGAGTATCTCGTACGTTGTTCACCTTTACCTTACTTACCTTAAAGTCTCACATCACATCTTCTATCTCTTTCATGACCTTCCCTCCACATAGGTATAATTCACATCCACGTCTTGAACTTCTATTATAATATATGCACCTCTTTACACAATATTGTGAGAGCTTCATACTAACTTCTTATGAGGTTGGGACACTTCTAACTGGCTTAATCGTAGAGCCGTTATAGAATATGGCTACTGTACTATCTCTCTTGTACCTCTGATATTAAGAGTGATTCTGTGATGTTCTCAATCATCACTACAAGAAAAATGCTTAATAGCGAAGGGAAAACTGGTCCCTAAAAGTAAGGAATTGGTCTCTAATGTTCAATAGCGACCAGCCAATCTGGCCCTTATAGCTTCCGCCGCTAAAGGTCATTAAGGACGAGATAGAGAGCTGGTCGTTAAAACTGTTTCACGGCCAGTTTCAAACTGGCCCTTAAATGATTTTTAAGGACCATGTTTCTAGTGCCTATTTGCATATTTTAGGGACTAAATTTCTGGTCCTTACAATGTTTTTGCGAATAGCTTAAAGCTGGTCGTTAAAACGTTTCGCGACCATTTAAAAGCTGGCTGTTACTTCTTTCGCGAAAAGTTTAAAGCTGGTCCTTAAGTCGAACATGTCGGCACTACAAAGCTACAAATTTAGCAACCAAATTTTCTACTTCTAAAAAGGATTTAAGGAATAATAGTCTAGTCCCTAAAGAAATAAATCAAGTCCCTAAATCACATTCAACTTGCAACTAGAAAATCTGATAATTAATATAAAGATTGTACTGTTTTCATATAATATTTATGAAAAAATGATTAACATTAGTTACTTGCACCGTACATCAATGATGTAAGCTAGTCATAATATTGTGTTCATAAACCTTTAGCAAAAAAACTACATATCACTAATATCCCTCGATTATAATGTAATTTTTTTTTTGACATTTCCAGCAAAAAGATGGTCAATCTGTATGTCGAAAATCCTCTTCTTGTAAACCTCAATATCCAAAACCTGTAGAAGAAAAAAAATTATTTAGAAAAATTATAACACTATGGATGGAACAAAATCATGGCTAATAGTAGGTACTGACAAATGAGTTACATGTACTCACTGGAAGATATACATAGAAAACATTAGGTTAAGCAGAAAAATTGTTATCGATTCCTTCCAATAATCTCTTTTTAAGAATAACCATCAATAGTAAAGAATCCACTGCTTGCATAAACAAGAGGGCATTCTGGTATTGTGGCATTAGATGTGCAAATATTTGTTGTTGTGTTGCTAATGCATCTTTCATCTCCTGAGAAACTTTAGTAAATTCGGGTAATTATGTCTGTATGGTAAAGAATTAGATTTAGAATTGATAATGCTATCGATTTATATGTAACGTGTTGCAGGCATCCAGCTGCTTTCGGCAGCCTACAAACTTTTCCCATGATTATGAGCTCTCCTTAAGAGCTAGCAGCTTTTGATATGTGCCAGAAAAGCTATCTTTAACCCAATGACTAAGGAGCAACAACAGAATTTCAAGCAAAGATGTGGGAGCTCGTGGAAGCTTGTGCATAGATTTTTACTAGCAGAAGAAGCATGTTCCGGGCATGAAAAACCAAACTCTATAGCTGGCCCAGCTCATAGCATTGCTGTGACATCAAAAGGAGTTGTGTACTAATTTGGAAATAAAAGGTTATGCTTACAAGAAAACATATCAATAAGAGGGAAAATTAATTAAAAGAGAAACTTCTTCTTTTGTTCTGTTTCAGTTTTAATCACAAAATTCATCAGATCATTATTAGTTAAGCTTGTCGTGATGTAATAGGAACACAGATAAAGTCAATGCACAAGACTAAAGAAGATGTAATTCATTGTCATTACTGCTACAACAACAACAACGGAATTATTAATATCCAGTATATATAGGATGACAGGTTTCCTTTGAATGTTCAAATCCACAAGTTCAAATGATCAGCAAAAGCTGCAACATTGATTTCAGTATTTATTAGTCACCTAACTAAATTGCTATACCAAAAGTAGTAAGCTTATGCTAGCGGATCAACTCGAAAGTATCAGCATCTCATTCTTTTAGAGAATAATTTTCTGCATGTTTCCCCATGCATTTGATTCTCCAAAAAGTATAGGGATATCCGGACTCACAAGCATATACCATACAGGTAGCAACAATGTTACTTTTTCCGGTCCTTGCAGTTGTTATACGCATCTTTTTGTATGCTTGTAAACAAGAATTATTAAGAGGGGGGGGGGGTGGGGGGGAGGGGAAGCGANNAGCAGAGTTTTAATTCTCTTTCATCATCCTTAGCAAACTTCCATCAGCAAGAACTTTGTATGTTTGGTGCCTGGTGTATGCATTCTAGAGACATAGTTGGACTAATCAAAGCAATAGTGAGAATTTGGTGGTAAATAGTTTTAACGGCTAGAAGCACTTAATCTGCCAATTAAGATCTCCCAGAAAATATCTGGCGGCGGACAAATTAATACATCGTTATATAGCCAGTGAAGCAACTTAGAGAAAATGATTTACCCTTTCTCAGCCATCAAGTCAAAAGGCTAGGAGGACAACATAAAAACTAAACTCACACTTTCTGGACACCCTGGTATGTTCAACACCTAATACGGGGTTGGTGAATGTTGATACTTGTTATCTGATAAAGTATGAAAGTAAAGTCTCATTTTTTCTGTGTGAACTTTGCGATGCTTAATGTCCTGTTTTTCTTTTTTAACCTCCTTCCAGAATTTAACCTACTTTTTATTTTGATTGCATCTTTGACCAGTTTCTTATATGGAAGCTAAGTAAATAAAAGAAACATGCTTAGAAATTACTGGAAAGATGCAGGATGAAAATACTTTTGCATTTTAAAATGGTTAGGAAGATGTTACTGTATAAGATTCTGTTCCGACTGTTAAGAAGCTCAATGACATTCAATAGGATAGTTGTTTAACTTAGTTAGCACTGCACTGCCAATGAGCTGAGTATTTCAATTGATAGAATGATATTTAATATTTATGACATCAGTGTCCTAATAGGAAGGGAGCCTTTTCGAAAAACATTAGTATTTCCAGTAATTTCAGAAAATGAATTACGTTCTTTAATGAACTTAATGGCGGTCTAATGTACAATATAAATACATCACTACGATGTTGACCAAATTCATATCCTAAATCAATGAAGAGCTATATACAGTAACAAACAGATGCCAAATGTAAAAGCTCCTGACAAGTGTGGAGAACTATCCTGTAGAAAAACTAACCTATCAGTGCTGGAGACGAACCATTCAGGTGAAGTTCTAAGCCACAAATTCCTTTATGTTCGTTTCAATAATATTCGCGTGGGCAGATATTGACATTGTCCTTTCGCTTGCTTTTTGCTATTGCAGTAAGTTTGTGAAGACCGCTAGAAGGCTTACCATCTTAACAGATTCTGGCAGCGATAACATACGAGATAGGGACCAATGGATATTGATCCTTGTTAACTGTACAGTTGATTGCTAGTAGTAGTTTCAACCTACTTCCTTTTCCTTCTTTGAGTTATTTTTAAGAGTTGAAGGGGGATATCTCTCCTTCAACCAATGTTTAGCGAATTGTAGACTGAATATTCAGCTCTGTTTAATATTTTCAATCTACCTGAATTTCTCAATGTTTAACTAAATATTGTTGCATATAATTATAATTATTTTTGCCAACTGTTTCCCTATGCACAACCAGCAAACTCGTAATCAATGGAAGATATAAATTTCGCAAATGATATATAATAACATACACTTAAATAAACAAAATAAATTGATGTTTCAAGTAAGTTGTTACTCACTTGGTATCAGTTGTTGACCTAGCATGATGAGCGGGTCTAGTGCATGTTTTCTGCTTTGTAAAGTCCTACAAGAAACTAAGATGCAATGCTTATTAAAGGTATCCTCTGCAATAAATCCAGGAATAGATAAATTATAATTGAAATCATTATATGCCAAATGGTACTGTTTAACTAAAGCCAACAAAGATAGCAGACTATAACTTATCACAACTTAATGTAAACAAAAACAACTACTACACTTCGTCACAACCAAATTAGGATCGGCTATTTGTATCCTCACTATCCATATCATGCCATTTAAGACCATCTCAGTCCAAAATGATCACAACTTAATATACCACCCATAGATCCATTATTACAAGATGCTTGAATATGTATTATTTCCGGTACCTAAATTTTCATGGGTGCTCGCTTTCTAATAATAATAATAATAATAATAATAATAATAATAATAATAGTAATAAAATAATACCACTACCCTTTTGGTCTTTACATAAGATAAAATAAAGTTTAAAAAATAAAACAACTAGGCAGCCGGCCTTGCCTTCATTGTGTTCCTAGATATGTATTTATTCATTGGATTTGAAAGCTATTGTCATTGTTTCCACTTTTTCCACAGGTTGACCCCGTACCTATGCCATCATCATGTGCAAAAGTCTTCATATACCTTATGGTTCTTCATCTATGAATTTTAGAACCCAAAGATGATCGTATTAATAAATGGTATTCATACGGCTAGACTAGTCCATTGTTGTGGCATCAGTGGAACGTACAAACAGGTATATTCCTTCAAGTAGTTATCATTTCTTTATGCTTGATGGATGCTTTACTGAATCCATGACTTCAATACAACACACGATGGCTTGACAACCAGGTTGCTCTATTGAGTTCACGAGTTGTATAGCTACAAACAATATGAGATGCAAAAACAAAAGACAGAGCTAGTGATACATTGCCACTGCAAAGAAAGCCAGCAAGTTGCTTCCTACATCCGTGTTTTAAGGTAAGTTTAGTCCTTTTTGCTATTTTGTTTGAGGGGTTTAGCAGCTAGCAAGACCTTTATTATGTATGAAGTCGCGCTAGTTTGTTAGTTTAAAGCAAAAAGAACTACCTTACTGGATCAGGACCTATTTATCCCCAACGATATCTCTAGAACATGAGGAGGACTACATGCATTACACAGAGCAAGAAAGAACATAACAAGAGAAAACAAGGTGGCTTGATTGAAATGCTAAATTGATATTTATGTAGGGTAGATGGTGAAATAACTCTTCAAATCCATAAATAAAATAATAACATGGCAAATCGTACTCGTTGAGAGACGTGGGAGGAGGAAAAACAAAAACAAAAGAAAACCTTACGTTCAGTCGATCTAGGGCAATAGTGATACTGAAATGCTAAATGTCATTTCCTAAGAGATGCAGTTATCGATCAATCTTTCCACCAAAACCACAAGTTCTCCTTTTGTTTTTTCTAGTACCACCATTCATCTTTTTTTCCTGAACTAGTAGATCGTCTTATCATCCCTTTCCCATAGTGTGTTTACATATAAATTTTTTTATCATTAAATTCTGCAATGTGATTCAATCCATTTTTGCTAGATTTTATCTCAAATCATTTGAATTCCAACCAAAGTCTCTATCTTTTTCTTTAAATTGCAGGTTTTATATATTGAATAAGCCCATAGCAATGGAGTTAGGGGATAACAAGATTTTTGAACGTAGGGTTGCTGCTAGCAGTGACCCTACTGGGAGCCAAACTCATGACCCTTCAAGCAAGTCCCCAGAAGAATTGTATAATGCAAATCGCAAAGGAGAAAACTATCGCAGAGACGAAACTCTACAAGAAAAACTCAAATTTCTCCTCCTTGACCTACGAGCCCCATCTTTAAACCAATACTCTCACTTTTACCACTCACACAATAACTATCAGTACTCTAAATAACCCAATTGCAGAAAAAAACTAAAGAAATAGAAAATTACAGAACCGGATTTACGATTTCTGGTTCAATCGAAAAAAATGCAAGAAGAAGAAAAAAGGAAACGAAACTGATAAAAGAGAAAGAAATTAAACTTACTCTTGATTAGGCAGATAATCCAATAGTAGATTTTGGGTAAAGTCCCTTGGAGAGAGATCGAAATTTGACGCCAAAGTTTGGAGTGATGAATTTTGCAAGCTTCTGAGTTATGACTGATGAATTTTGCAACCTTTGTGAACTTTGAAGAGAATTAAAGTTGCCGCTTAATTAGGGATTGTAGTGTGAAAGTGATTTTTTGGGAGATATTTTAGGGTGAAAGTGAATTTCTAGCGGGATTTCACAGTAAAAATATATTTTTGGAGGTTTTTTTTAAGTTTACTTTCCTATCCCACTGAAATCGTGTATTAGAGACCATATATTAAATTTTATATAGATCAGAATAAGTCTACTAGTGTATTTAGAAAAAACAAATTGGGTATTAGAGACAAAAAAAAAAATCTCATCCCTATAACTACACTTTTAGGGACCACATTAAAAGCTTGTCGCTAAATACTGGTCCCTAATAAGCCTTTTTCTTGTAGTGCATGATGTCTATAACTTTTTGGGTCCAATAAGAAAACTCCTAATTTACTTAGTTGATGTAACTCTTTAGTTTCCTCTTCTTTCTGATCAGCCTTTATGTAGGATTAAGCTATCTTCCGATCTGCGGCTCATGGCATTTAGTTATTACTTTAGCCTTTAATGGACGCTATGGAAAACCATGATACAATCTTCTAATGAATCAATCCTTTGTCTATGACCTGGACCCAATTCCTTCTTTTATCTTATACCGGAGTCTTCTACGACTGACCATTAATCGAATAATTCCTTTCATTCCATTTCAGCTTTCTTCAAACGTAAGCAATTGTTTTTCATGGTCTTTTTGCCCCCTTGTTGCGTGCATACTTAGCTTATCTGAGTTCTCAGGCATGTCGAAATTTTTGTGCAACTCATATGGTCTCGAATATTACTTTTGGTTTTACTCTCCGCTCATTAACCATGGTAGGTGCCACTTTCTTTTGGAGTGCATGCAATTTTGTAGTGAGACTGTTGTTACACCACCATTTCCTTTTTAGGTCACTGTGCTTTGGTTGAAATCTTCTTCCTTATTTTCTCAGCTAGTCTTTCATTGTAGTACTTGGGGGGGGGGGGGGGGGAATCCTCTGACTCTTGTAAGGCTGTGAGCTTATCACATTGTATGCCTGATAGAATTTTTGATGTTCTTCCTCGCCTATAATTACCTGTAGTTACTTATCTCCACGCCCTTGTGCATGTAGGGTTACTTGTGAACTAATATTTTGACTGACTTCCTAATGATACTCTCTTTTATTTCCGTAACACTCATACGGTATCTTTATCTACCCGGACTCCTATCCAGATATTTCTCAAGGATCACGATGTCATAACTGCGAGGCTGAATTCCCCATATTGGGGTTCCCTATGTTCAACTTGCACGATCTGTTGGTTTGTCTGTATCCTCTTGTCTAGCCATAGCTAGGCTCTTCCTGAATCAACTACTAACTACTTGTTGGCCCATTCCCGTATCAATGTACTGCGTAGTCTTTCTTGGGTTATTTCCTTTGTCTTAACTTACCTCTCGCACTGGCTCCTTATTAATCAATAACATCTCGAGTAGGAACCCTTACTTCCTCTCCTTGGTGTCGTGTTTGCATAAAGCTTTGGTATCGTAGCATCTCTGTAGGCTTTGAATAAGTGCAATCTCATCCCTTTTTCATTTTATCGCATTCTTCCTTTATCATTCCATAATTACTAGAACCATTTAATTCCGACTTAATGCCACATCACTTCATATTCCCTCTTTAGGGAAGTACTAATATTTAGCGCTACGACTATCTACCTATAGATGTTTTACCTCTTCATCACTGGCATCTTCTCACATTATCGATGACCCTTACTCGCCTTGCGGTAATCTTTCTGCACCAAGGATAACGAAATTCCTTACTCGCGAGGGTGGCACTTAGTGTAACTGGCACACATAGTCCCTTAAGCTTAACTTTTCTCACATTGCTTGCTTTAGGAAGCGTCTTCCTGAATGACCATTCTTTGAGTTTCTCATGAATCTTCTTCTGTTGTCCATTCTATTATCGCCGAAACGAAATCTGAAACTCTCATGATGCCGACTATTATCTAAACACTCAGTCCCTAATTCACGTTTAGTTTATCTTGTTCACCAGCCCATACTGATTTCTATTATTCCGGGGTCTAACTTTTCCTTCCGGTAGTTGCGTTGGAGTCATGAACTTATATCTCGAAGTGAGGATATGACTTTATGTCCTATACTCTTTTGTTGTCTCAAGGCCTGTCACCTATCATCTTTTCCTTCACTTGACTATAGACTCTATAATAATTGTCATCTTTTTGACCTACCGTTGTTATCCACGTATCACATCTTACTCTTAATGCTTCATTAGCTCTCTTCTTATTTCCTGCTAACATTTCTGTCTATCACTTTATTCTGAAAACTTCAACAAGATATTCTTTTGCTTTTAGCTCCCTTTTTCTCCATCCATTGGCTCTTCGGGTTGCCTAGAATTATCTCTCTACTACGGACGAAAGCCATACTAAGATAATATTTATCCTTTCCAGGCTTCCAATGCCTATCTTTGTAGCACTCATATCTAGCTGTACTATTTTAGAGTGCACCATCTAGGTGTCTCACAATGAGATCCATTCCCACGTTTGCACTATCCTTCGGAAGTGTCAACTAACTCTACCAATCCATCTATCATTTTTGGGTTACTCTAACCCCAGCCGGATTCTGATAACCCGTCCTTCTCTTAAACTATATCTGTTAGCTCCCATAGGGCATAACTGAGATCAGTGTGGCCGATTGTACATATATCTGTCACTGTTGAAGGTAACTAAAATGCTTATATCTCCCTTCCTGAATGGTAAATAATGATAATCTTTATTAAATAGGTACCTCGTACCCCTCTTCACCTTGCTTCTTTTACTTGCTGAAACTTGTGTCTACCTTCTGATTCTGTTATTCCTTTTTATCGTAAGAGTGGATAAGTATTCTTGCCTTAAAACTCCTTATCAAGAACCTTACACTGCTGAAGACCTCACATTTATCGTGAGGTTTGCTGAAGACCTCACATTTACTCATCATAAGTATGATGTAATCGAGTTCCTCTGACTCAACACTTCCGCAGCTATATCTCTTACCGACCGTCTTTCTGAATGTAGGCATCGTTGTATTACGAATAAGATAGAGTTTAGGAAATTGAGTTCTTATAACTGAGCTCTACCATACGATCTAGAGTAAGAAGAAAGAGTTACAATCCTAAATGCCCTGTAGCCACCTGCTTATAAGTGTGGTGCACGACACACCCATAAACAAGACTCTACTAGACACGACTTGTAGACTCCCTATGACAGAACTGCTCTGATACTACTTTTGTCACGACCCAAACCTATGGGCCACAACGAGCACCCGGTACCTTACTTAATCGAGTACGAACATAATATATCTTTCTTATTGTACTTTCATTGGCAAACGGGCCAAACGGGCCGTCATGGGCTAACAAGAATAAACATAGGGGAATACTCAATATAGGACGACCCAACCTGATATAAAAACTTATACATGTGATATACGGGCCTATAAGGACAACATGATCATTTGTAAACTCAAAACATAGGCCGACAAGGCCATACAAGAATTCGTATACATGACATCTGTCTACAAGCCTCTAAGAGTACACACTTAACATAAAGGTCGAGACAGGGCCCTGCCATACCAGACAATATGCGTCTAAGTCATACTGACCAAACAAGCAACTCCGGAGCATATGGAGTGCACCAACATCTTCCACTGAGCTGATAGCCTACTTGGAGGACTCTCGACCTGTCTATCGGGACCGGCGGGCATGAAATGCAGTATCCCCAAACAAAAGGGACATCAATATAAATAATGTACCGAGTATGTAAGGCACATAAATAAGTACATAAAAGACATGGAAGAAATATAGAGTAAATGACTCAACCTGTAAGTCTGTATAACTCTGTAAATCATGAAATATTTATAGTGTCATGCATATGTGTATGAATGTCATGTCGTGCATAGGTAGATATGTTCATAACATCATCAAGCCTCCGAGGGCATCCCATCATATCATCTCGGTCACTGTGGGCAAAATCATCAACGTATACCAGCTGATCAGGTGGTAGTGCGTATATAACGCCGTAACTTTTTCCCATATCCCATATACATATATACGCGTATGTAACGCCATCTGGTCACGGGTCAATGTACATGTATAAGTAAATGCAATGCATGAGAAGTACGTCAATAAAATCACTCAAAACGTCATAAGACCATTATATTTCTGATTAATATCATGAAACAAACCTTATCAACTTACGTATTTTCTGAGACCCATGATCAGACGATAGAATAATAAGATATATGGGAATTCAAGAACATAGGCATATTCAATACTTCTATGAATAGAGTCATTTATGAAAGTTGTGCATTTGCTCGTTTCGTTCGTATCGTATAGATCATGCCAAAAAGAAAGAAGGGATAGCCTTAACATACCTGAACTGATTTTCTTGAGAAAGATTGCACCATATTCTCTTATAATTGCAAAATCATACAATAGTAACATAAATCCAATGTCTACCAAGTGCTCCATCATGTGTTATTTGGTATTGGGGTAGGAAAATGTTATGATTTCCCTTCAATATGTTCTGACGTGAATTTCTAATGGAAAGAACAGTATGTTTGAATCTCTTGAAAGTCTAAGAGACCAAATGAATCAAAATGGTCATAAACCTTTAAGTGTGTTTGAATGGGTTTGGGACCACTTCAAGTGGTGACTAAGCCACTTTAATCCTCCACAATATGACATCTATGCAAGACTTTTAAGAGTCATTTTAATTATAAGGGTGGGGCTGCCACGTTTTTGGGTCTCTTAGGCCTTATCCCAATGTCTTAATTACCCAACTAATGTTTTCGTTAACTAATTAATCCCCCATTAACCAATAATCAACCAATTACCTATATAATTAAGAATTATCTCAACTCACTTAAAATACTACTCACTTTTAATACACTTTACGGACTCTACTATCATGGTCGTGGGGGTACCTTGTATGGCATTAGTCCATAAATGTCAGGTATTGTAGCTCGGGCCGTATTTAATCCCAAATCGACAACCTTCAATGAAACTCATTTTCTTTGATTCGTTTACCCTTTATCCTTCACGACACTTACTTATCATTCGTTATAAATAGCATAGATGTGTATAACCTCTAGATAATATCATCCCTGAGTCCACGTCGATTGACTAAAGATGAAACTTTAACGTACGAAAAT